AAAGACAAAAACACCTTTTTGTAAAACATTCGAGTAAAGAATTGTTACAAGGGTAGCCTATACAAGGCATCTTTTCAAAACATTTTCAAAACCACACACCAAGCACCATTTCAAACAATTGAAAACCAAGACAAGTTGATCTAAGCAAGTACCTAAGAGCCCATGGATAACCATGGATAGAAAGGGTGCTAATACCTTCCCTTTCTATAATCTACTCCCCGAACCCAAGAAAAATCTCAAAGGTTTTTGCTGTGCTTTTTAAACCTTTCCTTAGGATAAAATAAAAAGTCGGTGGCGACTCTTGCTCAACCGAAACATTTGCGAAAACAAACGCAAAACCCTAGTCAGTTCCCCCACCGTATCACAATCACTAATGGGAAGAATCAGATTTTCCCTCTGCAACCTCTGTAATTGGGCCTCTCCTCATAGCCTCAATATCAATGCAGTACAGGTCATTCACCCTTTTACCCATCAGATTTCTATAACAATCAAGGATCTCTTTTTAATCTTATCATGTGAAGTCAATATAATACCATTATCTTTTTCCAGCATAATTAAAGAATTCTTATGAAGCTTTTCTTTAACCGAGGCATGGAAATACAAATTATTACCATCAACAACCTTTAACCAGGTTATTTTAGACCTTTGTCTCAGATTAGCCTCTTCCACCTCATTCCACTTAATGAGATCATTAGTGCAATCCTTGACTTTTGGGTACGAGCTCGTGCTTAAAGTCTCATAATTCCATATCCAACCATCCTGCCAATAGTTTTGGAGCCTGTTGTTGAGGGAGATGTTCCTTATACCATTCTCCACCCTGATATGCCTACTGACATTGACGAGTTGCAAAAGTCTTGGATTCAACTGAAGGAAGAACGAGACATCTTTGAGACCCAATTCTATGCAAGTGGGAAGAAAGTGTTGGAACTTACAAGACAACTTCAAGAGGAGCAGATTCTTAATGCATACATCAGTACAAAGAGAAAGCGCCATTGGGAGATTTAATTCTTAGATTTTAGGAGTTTATTTTATCTTTGAAAGCTTTTGTAAGCCTAAAAGTCAGTTTTAATTTGAACTTTGCTAATAAATTTTTTTTCTTGTTTCCTCCTGATTAGCAAATTTAAATTTCCTAAGGTCCTTGAAATCACTGCATTTACATATCATGCATCATTTCATAACAGGTTTCTCATTTTCTCGCTGTTTATTTCAGCAAAAAAATGGCCCTCGAACAAACCGTAAAGGATCTTCAGGCTTAACACGCCCAGTTCCAGGAAACTCTCATGAATCCGGCCCAAGGGCAAAAAGAGTTGTTGGCGCTCGTCGCCAAGAAAAAGTAGACCAAAAAGCATGTTATTGTCTTCAACATGGGGAGGAGGTTCAAGGGTCCTGCTCAGCTAGTCTATGTAGAAGATGAATCCTCTGAAGAAGATGACCACTGTGATGGGGATGGCAAGGACAATCAGGATTATGAAAATGCTCCTGAAGACGAAGACTTTTCTGATGAACAATATCCTCCTGCGGATGACAGATATAAGCAGTTGGAGGACAGACTCAAGGCAATGGAAGTCCAGAAGGTGCTTGGACTAGATTTTGGTGAATTGGGTCTGGTTCCAGGGGTGGTCATCCCACCTAAGTTCAAGGTCCATGTGTTTTTTAAATATGATGGGGTCTCTTGTCCTAAGCTCCACTTGAGGTCGTACGTTCGGAATATACAGCCTCACACTGCTGACCGGATGTTATGGGTTTATTTCTTCCAAGAAAGTTTGGCTGGAACCCAACTGGAATGGTTCTATCAGCTGGAAGGAATCAATATCCATACATGGGAGGACCTGGTTGCTTCTCTCTACAAGCAGTACAAATACAATGTTGACCTGACACCAACTCGAGTGCAACTGCAGAATATGTCCATGGGCTCTAATGAGGGGTTCAAAGAATATGCTCAAAAATGGAGGGACTTAGCTAGAAGGGTACAACCTCCTTTGAATGATCGGGAAATGGTGGATATGTTTATGGGCACTCTGACATGCCCATTCTTTAATCTGTTGATCGGGAGTTCCTCATCTGGTTTTACAGAGATGATTCTGACTAGAGAAAGAATAGAAAATGGTATTAAGAGAGGGAAGATCCCGATGACTGCATCTTCGAATATTGTGAAGAAGTCATTTGGAGGGAAAAGGGAGGTCAATGTTGTCTATGGCCAGAAAAGCCGTGGTAAAAGTAGTCGTCACCAATCTGTGAGAGCAGTGTTAATTTTCAATCCGGCGCCTGCTCAACAACAACAACAGTAGGGTAACTACCGAAGGCCAGACGCTCCGAGAAAGAAATTCACCAAGATTAATATGCCTTTGTCTCATGAATTTATTAAAAGCCGAACTCATTTCGACGTGGGTAACTTGTGATTACAAATGTTTATATTATGTTTTGTTTAATTTTTCGTTGCAACCAACTTCAACTTACAGCTTTCAAAAATACACATTTTTATCTAAGAGGACATGGAAAATAGATAATTGATGAGATGACAATGTAAAAAATGTCTCTGCTTTGTTATATTGATAATATATTTTAGATTTTATTGTTTCATCTTCAACAAGACCTTATTTTTTCTTTCCCTCTTTTAATTTATTAGTGATATGTTTAAGTTTCACATATATCCACCATGTGTATGATTAAATATTATAATGGACTCTCATCAATTTCTTTTCTATTATTCCATTTATTTCACATTCATGAATCATGTAAATAGTAAGGAACAAAGACAATGAACTTGAAGACAGAAAGAACGGATACATAAATTTATTTTCATTCATTGTGTATTTGCTAAGTATTTTGATATATTTCTAATATATAAATTAGTCTTAGAAATAACATATACAAAATGTAAAATATAGTTTATATTATGAAATTATGTATGAAAGGTCTTTAATTTGAAATTGTAATAAGCTTATATATGGAGTGGCTCTAATTTTAAATTGTAATAAAATAAAGAAAAAAATTAAATGACTTATTTTATTTGGCCTATTCAATGTCTGTTAATACTACTTCTTTTTTATAGTCATTAGTTACCTATATAAACTCTGTGTCTTTTTTTATGGTACTTTTCTAAAGAATGATTAAAAATGTTAATGATTTATATCGTTGTAGCTTGTGCGGAGCAACAATAAGTAATTTACACAATCACGGGTTGATGAAGAAGTCTTATCTGCAAAATCATTTTGCTAACATCGTATCTCTGAAAAAATTAAAGTGATTAAATGCAATTGAGAGCTTGCTGCAGCCATAATGATTCCATCATGAAACCAAAAATGGTAGTGTCAATTGTATGGATCAATATATTTTCAGTGTTTTGTTGGTTTGATGCTCTGAAAATATTGATGTTGGTTTTGAATGGTTTGCCATTGTAACTGGTTTGGAGCAACAGTAAGCGATTTACGTCGGTCATAGGTTGATTAAGAAGCATATCATTTGTCTTATCTGCAAAAACATTTTTCTAACTGAATAAGGCTCTGGTTTGATTTTGTAATGGATCTGAATTCCTAATTTCAATAATTAATTAGTTTTTCATATTCAATTTAATTGTATAAAGTTTTATGTTTTCTTTGTCTGACAAACAAGAATTGATTTACAGTTAATAATTAACTGAATCGCGGTTGTTAAGGTTTTTGTACGATTAGACTATAATAGATATCACTTAGGACTAGAGATATTCTATATGTATTGGTTAACTGATAAAACAAAGGCTTGATTTCATCATAATTCTCTAAGGACTTAGAATTTAGAAAGAATGTTTAAAAGTTTTTCCATTAAAGACTTATAAAAAATAACCTAAAGGATTGATAATTGAATGTTATGAACTTGTTGAAGAAACGAAGATTCAAGGTTATTACATGGAAAATCTGACCCTAGCATGCTCCTCATATATGTGAAAAAGCCAGTTTATATTTCTGCTTATTTTTTTACTTATTGCTAAGTGAGAATTTCCAAACAAAACCCCAATTTAAGTTTTTATTTAATTGGACTATAAATTAAATTCGATAATGATATACAGGCTTTGAAATCAATACTTTGAGATTTTCCATTATTACTACATTGACAAATTAGTACACTTGCTAATTTATCAATCACTTCCTACTTAAACCAAAGTCCAAAACTACAAAAGTGTAAAATATTTAATTCAGCCAATACTACTAAAATAGGTCTAAGTCGAAATTCTTTCGACATTTCAACACACACTAGACTAATTTTGATATACCCTTATATCGATCGAACAAACTATTTCAACTTAAGGAATTACAATCTCAACAAAATATACTACTTTTTCAAAGAGAAGAAATTGTCTTTCATGTATATTTAGTTGAGGTCTTTTTCCATTCAGTCATTTGCACTTGTCTCTAATATTGAAAATGTTGTTTGAATACTTCATGAAATGCCAAAGGACAAACAAATTAGTAGTATTGAACGGATTAGATTTAGGCAAGAAAACAACTATATAAATATTACTCTTGATGTGCGTTTGAGTACATACAGTATAGTTTTAATATGTAATATTACTTTCTCGATGTGCCTTTGAGTATGTACAATATAATTTTAATATGTGCAGATGTCCAAATATTTAACATGTTATTAATTTTAAAAACATGAATAAACCTTTGTGGATGTCAACCATCGATCTTCATTTCTCCCACTTATATATCTCCATATTTCTATTTAATATTAAACTATTTCTCGACTTACTTACTCACACTTATTTACCTAAAATCTTAAGATGATAAGTGAGTAGTTTTTCCACTTATATATATTTAAGTCTCCACATTCATATTCAATGCGCTCAAATTCTAAAGACGTGGAATGAACCGATTATGTGTTTATAGTTTGTTTAAATTTCTATTTATTCATCTATGAACAAAGGAATATCTGTAACGGCAATGCAATCACAATTCACAGCTAGTAGCAAAAAAATGTCTAAAAAAGAAAAGGTAAGAAGAGATTGAACAATCCATGCTTCAAAGTTCACCAAACACCTTAGCTATCCTCTCTGCATGCACAAAAGGCGTGTACGTTGATACCTTCTCCGTTGCGTTGATAACGTCACTGTTATACTTTTCCATGCAAATCGTGGCCTTCGAAGAAACCACGTTCGCCACCCGATCAAAAACCGGAAACAGTTTCACCTTCCTCCACGCAGAAGCCACATTCTGCTCTGCCACAGGCTCGCACTTTGCGTAAAGCCTCACTGCCATTTCCGACACGGAGGCTATGTTGGCAACAGGAGTCCGGTGTCCGGCAAGGTGGTGGTCTTCATCGCTGTGACGGAGGATCTCATCGGGAACAAGGTGGAACTTTTCATGGACGGGCCCTACCACGCTCTTGACGGTTTCTTCAACGGTTTTGATGCTCGGCCTGAGCTCGGTGGAGCACTCCTTGGCAACACTGTACATGGTGTTGAACCGCATGATGAGTTCTTCCTTGTTCTTTTCACCCTACATAAAAGGGAATGTGATTGAAAAATTATGAAGGAGAACAAAGAAAGTGCATGGTTGTGAGAATCAAGTTAGGGTTGTTTGAATGAGAATTTGATTCGTCATATTTTTAGAAGAAAGAATAATAAGGGAAATCTGGTTTAGGAAGGGCCAAGCGAATGTGTAGGCAAGAACTATGGCCATGTGAAATGCCAACTACATATTTAGAGTAAAATTCAATAAATTAAAATTGCTAAATTTCAACTTCTCTTTTTATTATATCTATTTACTTTTTTAAGGCAGAAAAGCTTATAAGATTTGTTGTAAATTTTAGACAGAAAATAATACTATAAGGGTGTCGTGGAATGAAAAAAAAACATCACCTACTTCAAGTCGCAAAAGTATTTATTTTTCAAAGGTTTCTCCAAAAAAAATTATATAAGGATGAAACGGTTTTAGTGTTAAATTGTAATTCAGTGTGTCGAAACTATGTGTCGAAAATATTAAATTTGTTTTAGATTTAAATACATTTGATATAAGTCTAGAATAGATTAGATTAGATTTAGTAATAAAATAGATATTTTGGGCTTTGAGCTTAGGGTGTAAACTCAATTATAAATAGAGGGAGTAACAACTTTTTTTGAAAGCAAGTCAAGCAAGTCAATTAAGTTGTATTCACAGAATTTGCAGTTGCAAGTGAATAACAAAGTTTTCACAGTTTGTGAGCAGAGAGAAACTCTGCAGAAATTATTTGTCTTGTCTTCTTTTTTTTGTTTGTCTCATAATTAAACTGTCATTGTGATAGAAATTCATCATAAACTTTGATGAGTTTCCAACATCTGATATCAAGAGCTTTGTTTCGATTCGAGGGAAGTGTCAATCAAGAACGATTGAAGAATTCACGATTACAAGTTATGGGAATGCAAACTATCCAGCAACGCTACCAATTCTGAAAGTTGACAACTATGAGAATTGGTGCAAACAAATGAAAGTCTTATTCAGGTGTCAAGGTCTTTGGGACCTTGTAAAAGATGAAGTCGAAGCGCTTGAAGAAAACGCTTCAGAAGAAGAAAAGAAGAAATACACAGAATCTGAGAAGCTGAGTTATAAAGCATTATTTATAATTCATCAATGTGTCAGCCTAGACAATTTCAAAAAGGTTGGTGATTCAGAATCTGCAAAAGAAGTTTGGGAGATCCTTGAAAAGTCTTTTGGAGGTGCTGGGAAGGTGAAAGAAGTGAGGTTACAAACTCACAAAAGGACGTATGAACTGCTTCAGATGGAAGACAGTGAAAGCATATCTGATTTCTTCACTAGAGTTACTGTTTACCGTTGTTTTTGGTAAACAATCGCTGATCTCCAAAAAGGTAAGTTTTTTGGCTTACTTACGGGATCAATCAAACTAATCCCAGGACATATGCTAATTTTTATGTAAAATGGGTAAGAAGGAAGAACGCACGTTCGACCCAGAGAAAGGATGTTTGAGATTGTTGAAAAGTAAGCAGAAGTATAGAAATGCAAGTAAAAGAAGTAAAAAAAGATAACTTTGCAGGATAATAGTAAAGTAATGTAAAAGACTTTTATTAAGGAAAAAGGGTGTTTCCAACGTGCATTTCTCAGCTTTATCCTTTCTCACGCAATAGTTACTTGGATAACATTTGAGTAATTTAGTACAAAAGGTTGAACACACTTGAAAATTACACAAGCTTCTTAATTTATACTAAAAATAGGTAACCGTCGAGGGAACATTCTGCGCTAGGATGAAGACAAGTGTCTTCTGCATGTCCCTCGACCTATGGCTTTCAGCCACGTTGCTTCTTCTTAAACGCTGGCGAAACTGCATTTCCCTCCAATAATTCAAAATTCAAATAATCCTCGTATCATGTGCCAAAGCAAGAATACTTTCTCTCAGTCGAGTAACATAAGTCTTCTTCAGTCGAATGAGCCCTTGGTCGAAGATTCCAATATAACTTAGATTTTTTCCTTAAGTTATTTCATGTGTCGAATCATACTTCCTGGCTTGGTTCATTCCAGTTATTTGGTCTAAAAGACCAAATATAGTAAATGTCGAATTTGGGAGCCAACAAATTGCCCCCCAAGAATGTCTATTTCGCCGCTCAAAGAAATAGCCATTCTTTGAACTTCCCATTCGACACCTGTCTTCCCAGTTGTCCACCAAGTCTTGACGTGTGCTTTTCGCCTTCCAACAGCTGCTGCACTTGGGAAAACCATCATTACTTTTTCTCCAAGATGTCTCTTCAAACTGTCGTTACCACGCTTGCCATGATGACCATATTCTTATAACCTAGGAAAGCATGTCTAAACGTTTCCCAATGCCTGCACGATAACCATTTCGCACTTCGCCACGTGTCCCACTACCTGTGAAACATTAAATGGCCTTGACGAGACATATCCCTCTTCTGAAGGCTATAAATACTTCTAAGTCTTTCTATTTGGAACTTTTACCATTTCCAGCATTTCCAAATCCCTTGCTTTCTCACAACGTTGTACTGTCAACTTCGTTTTTTCTCTCAAATCCTCAACAATGGCTTTTCTCTCTAATGCACCAAACAATCCTCAACTCAAAAACGCTGATGATGTCCAGAAACCACCAAAGATCTTTTCCACCAACCCTCCTTCTTCTTCGATTGATAGGTATATCGCTGAACCCATGGCGAAAGAATGGCGAGAAGCATATGATTCTCAACTCCTCATTCCCATTAGATACGGTGGAAACATGTATGCTATGTCTGGTCCGTTATCTTCATGCGTCGAAAATCCCTTGAAAAACCACGCCTTCTTTCCTACTCACCCAAGGCTTAGACCCATAGGTTGCGCGAAGAAACCTAGGGAGGACCCTGAAGACGCCACTCTGGCGAACCAGCAACATCCTCAGACTACAGAGGATATCAACCTCCAGTTCATGAATAAAGGGAATCAAATCTTTCGCTCAAGCCCTAACCTCTCTTCTGAATATTCAGACTGGTTGAATAAGATGGAGAGGGTGCAAGCTTCTATTTGGAAGGAGATGGGCATTTATGACCTGGTGATGCTGTCGAAGACATGATTGCCTTACTGCCCCCTTATACTAGTATCTTCTTTGTACTTTTGGGATAGCGCACATTTCAATTTTCATCTTCCTTGTGGGATGATGACCCCTACTTTATTCGACATAGCTGCTATCACTGGGCTTCGACCAACTGGTGACTATTTCGACCCTGAAGACTTGTCTGAGGACGCTATTGGGTTTGCTGCTACAAAATCCACTTACACCACCTTTATAAACCACTTCCACGACAAAGCCTCTAGTACTGTGTCGGAGGTGGAGCATATAGCCTTCTTGGCTATGTGGTTGTCTTAATTTGTTTTTTGTACTAAGTCGCTTCAGGTGACGAAAAAGATGCTGACGCTCGCGATGAAACTTCACCATAAATACCCCCTTTGCCTGGCCTAATTGATTTTGGCAAACTTATATGAGTCCATCAGTAATGGTGTGACTCAACTTAAGGTTATAGGGGACAGGGGGAGCATGCTGCTAGCTGGTCCCTTTTGTCTTCTCCAGCTGTGGCTCAATGCCACCTTTGAATCTTTCCTTCCCCAGAAGAACAAGATTAAGGAAGAGGCTCCTGAAATCCTGAACAAGAGAGTCGAAGGCACCAGGCTTGCATTGCTAAGTCCCACTGATGAAGGCCAACAATTTCAGAAGGCTTTCACAAGCTTTGTAATGATGTTTGCGGAGTGAAAGCGCTTTTTTCCGACCATGGCTCCCTTTGCCAATCAAAAATTTGGTCCGAAATGGTTCACCAGACCATATCCTTAGAATGAGGAGGATGACGTGACTGATGAGTTCGTGAGCATGTGGGAATCGTTCCTTCGCCCCAGGATCATGCCTTTGTGATTTAAGAGCTCAAAAAATCAATTGAGTTTAATTGCTTATCAACCAAATCTTGTCTCTCGACAATTTGGTATTGCTCAATCACTTCCTTCACCTATTTATCCTCGAGAGAAGCTGCTACTTTTTTACAATGCAGACTACTCAGAAGATGCCGCTACCAAGCATATTGGTAGGTACTCTGGTCGAACTATACTGACCCTATTCGACTTCAACCTCAATTTTCCGAGTTCCGTTCCCTTTGAGGAGTGGTGGAAACAATATTATAACGAAGAGTTCTTCGATGAGAAGGACTTCGCCCACCACCTACGTGAGGCGTTCAAGCTTGTTCTCGACAGATTCAAGAAAGGTATTACTCTTTTCCATCTCTTCGTCTTAGATTTGTCTTTAGACACTCAATTAACTATAGCTATTTTGTCTTTTGTTTAGCTGTCAAGAGAACCAGCTCGAAGAAGACTGCTGAGAGTACCAAAGGGGGAGTTTCCGCCGCCAACCCCTCTCCTAAGGTATTTACTTTCTTTCATACCCTTATCTATTTTTTATCTGACATAGGTACTGATCCCTTAGACTTGGTTTTCTGGATGTTCAGAAACCAACCCCCAAAAAAGGGAAGGTTCAGGAGATCCAAATCTCTAGCGATGAAGAAGAGGAGTCTCCTCCTGTTCCTTTGCAGAGGCGAAGATTGAATAAACCAATCCCTGCCGTTGAACCTCGTCCAAAAATCAGGGTTAAGACTACAGCTGTGAGGCCTCCTCCTGTAGTCATCAACGAGCCCACTGAACAGGAGGTAATCGCTAGGTTAAACAATCCCAGCAAAAGTGACAACTCTAGTCCTGGTGCTGAAATCCCAGTCCAGGTATTTACTTCAACTGTTTATTATTTATTTCTCCACCCCCTTTTGCTTTATGAGGATTCTGAAGGAAACAAATTCTTTCTATTTTTCAGGACACTGATGACACTTCCACACGAATTCCTACTCACGTCGAGGATTCTGTCACTCTCTTTAATAGTGAAGGGGATCCTACCTATAGACCTTCTTCAGCGAAAGGCTCTTTCATGAGTTCAGCTGACGAAGTAAATCAGGCTTCTGAACCTCAACACG